CCGCTGCTCTCTGCTGTGCGTGTTTCAGCGCGAACATGTACGCAAGCGCGTTTTTTGATTTCAACCAATCAGCGCCGACGCAAATGACGTCATACACGACAACAGCTAAACTAAGCCAGCCGAGACGACACTCGAAGTCGGACTGACACGATTTTCTGCCAATATGTGTTTTTCCGTTTTTGGCCAAATATATTTTTTACGACAACTGTCTTGTTGACGGCGTCTTTTATTCGTTCCACTGGGGTTTAGCAGGTGTGTTTATAAAGAGACGAAAATTGTTTGGTGACTATCCCCCACGTTCTAGTTGAGATGGTATAACCCAAGAGGCAAAATGACGCTTGCTACTGTTGTTGCGAGTTGCCATTCGTTCTACTAAACCATTAGTCAAACGCCATCATGCCTTCTGTCGTTATTACACAAACAAAAATCTCTTTACTGTTACTAGTGTTATTGCCTCAATATGGCTACGCTCGTGAAAGCAATACAACGAACTCAAACACGTCTTCGTTCAATGTTGTCAACTAATATTCGGATTATGCAAATTTTCCTCAATTCTCCGGAGAAATTTTCATAAAAATTTGAAAAACCCGGAATTCCGGGAAAATCCGGAGGACTTTCATCTCTGAACCCTGTATTGTTATGGACTTCGTGTCGTGCTTCATGCTACATCCTGAGGGAGCTACATATGGATCAATATTCAGATTTCTTGGACATAGTATTTTAAAAGCTCTGAAAGCACTTTGTTAAAGCTGCAGTGGTTGTGAAGGCTCTCTATAAAGCTGTATTGTATTGTATTCCTTTAGCATAGCTCCATCTAGTGCATGCATAGCACACCACAGCTACTATTGCAGAGGAAAACCCTTCCCTCTTTTGAAATCACCAGAAAGCTGCTATGTTTTGGAAACTGACCCTAATGACTCTTATGTCCTCTCTGATGACCTTTGCCACGATTTTAATACACATGACTCCAAGTATAGGCACTTACAGTACTATACTGGCCATGTGACACAGTGCCTATTTTCTGCACTCTACACACAAAATTTACAAATACCCTGTATCGGGGTGTCAAACACATTTTTGTCGCAGGCCACATTGTAGTTACGGTTGTCCTTGGAGGGTCGTTATGAATTTTGGGAAACCATAAAAATGTTTAATCCCCTCCACATTTTACATACACAGCGCACAACAAATTGATGAATAACTAGTTTTAAAATCAGAAGTCAAGAATAATGTATGTTATTACAGATTACATATGACAATTTCACATTTTGGTTCAGACTTTAGCATCATGGAACTTGACATGTTTGATTTGCTTTCGCGGGCCACATAAAATGATGTGGCGGGCCAGATCTGGCCCCCGGGCCTTGACTTTGACACCTGTGCCCTGTATGATGCTAGTGGGACTATAGTGTACTTGTCACAATGGTGACAAACCAAAAATTACTAGTTAGAATTTACATAAACCTAGTAATGTTATTTTGGTACAGGACATTAACGTTAATCTCACTGATTTGTTGTTAATTTTACCCTTTCTTGGATCCTACCTGGGTCTTCAGCAAAGAGCAAGGTCCGTGTTACAACAATTACATGTCACGGGGGTGCTAACCTTGTGTTTTCAGTCGGAAATGCTCCCACACTTTCTCCATATTCTGCCTTTACCCCCCCCGACCCATATTCTTTTTCTTTCTTCACTTTGGCCTCTTCTATCCCACGCATTGTGCCACAAAAATGCCTATTCCACTTTGCTTTTTACTGTGTTCGTTTGAGGTGCAAAATGTGAATTTTAACTAGCCAACTTGCAATGCAAATTCACTTATTTCGATCCTTGCACCAAGATGTGGTTGAAGGAATGCAAGAAATTAACCAAATCAGAATGATTGACATCTGTATTTTGATGTAAATCATTCATGAACTCACAATGAGTGAGTGACTATTAACAGTGACATCTGACCTACCTGTGCACAAGTCTCCTCTGGTGCAGTTGCACTGGCTCCAAACAGTACTGCCATGTCTAGTGTGTACACTGTGAATTTCTCAAGAGAGTGGAGAACAGCAGGAGCAAGATGGGAGCTTTGACCTGAGCCGGGTCGACCCTCCAAAAGGAGCCTGGGACGGTAAGAGGTTGGCTGGCTCAACGCACTTCTGTGCAAAAATTGACAAAGGAAAACATGGGATCAGCCCTTTAAGAGTTGATCAAATCACATTTAGATGTGTTTATTAAACCTTTCAATGCTGAGAATTTCCCTTGAGACAGTCTTCTTTTGAGGGGTCTGTCCACTGGATCGCTCCTCATCGTCACTAAACAAGAGTTCATCCTCAGACACGCAAGACTGATCTGGAAACACAGACACACAGTTCTGAAGACTAATTGAGGAAAGAGATTTGTCTTTTTAAAACGTACCATACCTTGTGTCCTCTTCCTTTTCAAGCCCTGCTCAGCATGTGGGAACACTTTGCTGACAGTGTGGAGGATCTCCTGCAGGGCAGCGCTCAGTAATGGACGAATTGCAGGCATCAGAGCCTTGGCTGGTGACACTACAGCCCTAATGATTACATTCAGCATCGGAATTACATTCATACATAGTGTGTGTCTCTTTCTTTCTCTCTATAATTCTCGTTTTCTGCTCATAATTACTCTATGTTCTATACACAAACATTTACCAATAGGCTTCACAGAATCAGCATTTTTGGTGTCGATCGTTGATCAGTGAGTTAACGATCACCAATCTGATAACAAGATGTCTATTTAAGTAACTTATTTATGTTTTTAGTGGCAAATATATCTTTATTTAAAGATGTTAACTGTCTATGTTTGTAAAATGTTGTACATTTGAGCATTATGTAATCTGTGTCAAAATTTTACATACAAACCAAGAAACAAAACTGATTTCATTAGTGGCCATACCTCTGTGCAGCAGGCACCATCTTGGACATGGCGGACATGAAGTCTTTCGCTGTGATTGCGATAGAATCAACATCAAGCAACAGTTTCTGTGATGAGGAGTAAATCTGTGGATAGCGGCGCCGTAGTGCACACAGTGCCGCCTCCGAACACACCGCCTTAATGTCCGCTCCGCAATAACCTAAAAGTGAAAGACAATTGCTTTACATCACCACAAGAGACAATTATCAAACAAAACATTCAATATTTGCTCTCAAACAAATGCTACTCCTACAGCAGGGATTTACGAAGTACAGCAAACGGGCCAATTCCAGGAATGCGACTTGTTGTTTTAGCAGCCCGTGGCATATACTGCCGCAAAAGTAACATCTAACGTATGTATTGTACTTCTTAGTTTCTACACTACCTGCTGCAATTTAATGGACATGGTGTAATGTCACTGTGAAATGTATAAGATGCAATAACAGATAGCGGCAGTGGGAAAGCATCATTCAGTCAATGAGTGATACTGTGTTATGCAACGATATTTCAGGAAATTAAGACTATAATTTTGGAATACACTATTTAAGCAAAACATACTGTAGGAGCATGTGTCGACAGGACAGCACACTGCAAATTAGACCTTCACTTACACGGTTTTAGTAAGCTAAAGTTCAGTGACATTTTTCTACAGCGTCAGCACTTGCAAACATACCAACACACTTATCAGCCAACTCCTCGACGAAACTGTTAGAGAGAGGAGGTGTCCAGAGTCTGGTGTGGATCTTCAAAATGTCCCTTCTAGCCTGCCAGACAAAATGATATCATAGCATTGGTACTTGAGTATATTTTCCAGTACTTTGGACTTTACTCAGTATTTCTCAGACTATTATTTGTTACATTTAAACACCAGTATTTGTACTTTTACTTGATGCATGACATTGATTTAAGTATTAGGCCTGGAAGGAAACGCTGACATAAAACGTGCAATTGACAAATAAAACCCAGAGGTAGGATTGGGCGTTATGTTGTAAAATGGTATGGTCTGGTAAGTTTGGATATTTTAATATAGGGATGATCACACGGCACACATTTGCTCCGGTGCTACACCGATGTATTTTGTTGCCATATATCTTACACCGGAGCAAATTTTGTAGTGCGTTCACACGTACAAAGCCGCTGAGCGTGTTAACCCCGGCGCAGCCCCGATGCAGCCACACTTGCGTTCACACGGCAGTTTCTGCAGCGGTGCAAAACGATAGAAAACAAAGAGCTGTCGTGTCGGTTCTTTTTAAAACATACACAACTCAAGCAACTACTGTACAGGCACGTCCTTCTCCTTCTCGGTCTCCATGCCTTCTGCTCGAGAGGCGTTCAATGACCGCCCCTGGAAAAGTAAATCAACGATGACTTCAATGACACTCAGAAAAGCAAACATATAATGCGCCAAACAGAAAATCAAGAGAGGAAATCACAAAATAAATTTTATGGCGGGGTTGTGAACACACAACAGAGGAACCAACTACAACTCCGAGACAGTCCAGTCTCCTACAAAAGGAAAGATGACGGAAGTACAACAGAGCATTAAAGCAACGCATTCCAGCCGTACGTAATCAACTCTTCTCATGTATAGCGAGGCTACTCCCCCCGCAAACGAGCATTTGCTCCAGAGCAAATTTTTAACCGTGTAGCGTTCACATGTACCATTTTAAATCGGTGCTGCCCCGCAAACAAGCATTTGCTCCGGAGCAAATTTTTAAACCACCTCCCTGAGCAGGGTTAAATTTGCTCCGGTTTAAGCTGTTTTCAGGGGCTACACCGATGTAACTTTGCACGTGTGAACGCTCTACTGGGGCAGCGCCGGCGCAGCACCGGAGCAAATGTTGCCGTGTGAACACCCCTTATGCTCAGCAAAAAGAGGCGTGGCCGCCTCCTTTGAACCATATCTCCCTTCCATCTCAGAAATGACTGGGTCAATCTTCACAAATCAGATATTATTGAAAAGGGAATTAAAAAATGATTCAGAATCCGCAATCATTTATAAGAGGAGTGACTATTTCACTAACTTTAGCTGTTGACCTATAACTTCAATTTGAATTTCATTTTATGGATCCCGTGACATAAACATTTTTAATGAAATCACTACCGCGCTGGTACCCTTCTTCCCTACAGTGTGGTTCACTGGGATGTCGAAAGTGAGCGAGACCTTGTCCATGTTGGTGATGTGCTTGGGCTGGATGTGATTGTCTGCAATTTCTTGTTGTACAGTATTTTAAAATGCAAAGTAGGCATGTCCCTCATCACTTGCCGTAGCTCAAGCAGGTACACTAGGAATGTGAGGGTTGGTCGAGAGAACAGTTGGTATGGAAGTCAAGTGAGGCCAGCAGAGCAAAATCTCCAAGGAAGCATCTTTATTTCATGTAACGCAGAACATTACTCTTCACTGCAGCAGGAGCGGCCAGCTTATAACTCATTCAGTACCAGTCAATTCTGGACCAAGTCTGAAAAGACGTTTAAAAACGTCTTTGGGAGTGAATGAGTTAAGTGTAATCCGCCGATTATTGCTGCGCCACGGTCGTCTTTGCCCAGATGCGTAAATGGCGCTGTTTCATAAAACACAAGCACCAAGCCCCATGTATTAGTAGATCTTGAATTCTCTCGCGGCTGCTAGATTCTCATGGTCCTCTGGGTAACTTATAGCTTGCAGTTTAAACTGTGCTTCGTAAGCGTGTCTCTTCGTAGGTGCTATTTTCGGGATATTGTTTTGCACAATGCACCTACTGGCACTATTCACTTACTGGGGGCGTGCCCTTAGCGTCCTCTTTCACGTCCTACCTTACGTCCCACTTTAACGTCCGCATGCTGTCCTCGGTTACGTCTGCATTTCCTCTATACAAGCACCGTGTCGGCACAACATCAGTCAGTCAAGTGGACCCCTCATCAAAGTCACACAACACCATTCACAGATTTTGGAACTCGATGCCCACACAAGGCCACCCGCATTATTAGGTGCCCCATCCATTTTGGAGAAAATTTTAGACTTTTATGTGCTTCTGATGGCCGTGAAAATACAGTAAGTACAGAATGACAGTACTTTTCCCAATTTTGTACAAGACCAAAAAATGTTGTCTGGCATGTGCCCACAAGAATAGAGCATGGTTCAATTATTCTTTCATTCATTCATTCATTTTCCGAACCGCTTTATCCTCACTAGGGTCGCGGAGGGTGCTGGAGCCTATCCAGGGTGTCTTCGGGCAGTAGGCGGAGGACACCCTGAATCGGTTGCCAGCCAGTCGCAGGGCACACAGAGATGAACAACCATCCACACCCACACTCACACCTGGGGACAATTTTAGAATGTTCAATCAGCCTGCCATGCATGTTTTTGGAATGTGGGAGGAAACCAGAGGACCCGGAGAAAACCCACGCAGGCCCGGGGAGAACATGCAAACACCACACTGGGAGGCCGGAGCTGGAATTGAACCCGGTACCTCTGCACTGTGAAGTCGACGTGCTAACCACTTGACTACCGGGCCGTCTGGTTCAATTATATCTACTAAATTCTTTGAGCTACAAATGTTTTCAATGGCAAGTTGATATCGCTTAAGAATGTCAGTACCTCTCTGTCGGGAAGGCCAAAGAGGAACTCTCTGTCAAAGCGGCCCGGGCGTCTGAGAGCTGGATCAATGGAGTCCAGTCTGTTGGTGGCACCTATCACCACAATCTCTTCTCTGCCATCTAATCCATCCATGAGAGCCAGAAGAGTCGACACAATGGAACTGTAGACACAAAAATGAAAGATTTTAGAGCAATTTGATTATTTTTATTCCCACGATGGCGCCCTAGTAGGCAGCCGTTGGCAAGTGCTCTTCAAGAGCCTTGCTTTTTTGTTGTTAATTTTGTCTTTTGTTTTGTCACATGGTGTTGTTACTTCGTGTGGACTCGATGTGGATTGTTTTCAGCGTTTTTTTGGCCACGGCATTCATCAAACGAGAAGAATCTGTGCTTGGTAGTAGCACCTTCTTGGCAGCAAGCGTGTACCAGCCCTAATTTTGATTGGAAGGAATGTTGGCGCCATTTGACTGTCGGTGCTGGACAGCCCCGGGGCGCTTGTGTTTTTTGCACCTGTAATGGGCATTTTTCACAGCACCGTTTTGTTCAGTGGAGATGACGGCGCTGTTGGACAGTCTGGGTTGGTGCGGCTGGATGGGTGGCTTGTGGAGCCGAGGATGATGAGAGAGGAGCGTCTGTGCAGAGCGCGGATGCGTATTTGGAACTGAGAGTCACCGCTTGGAATTGAAACGGATTTACATGGGACAGGAGAAGTGAACCAATCTCTTCTTTTCATCACTGGACGTTTTTATGGTATGTGTTGTGTTTATTATTTTACTTTATGTTAATTGTTTTGTAAAGTGCTTTGTTCCAGATGCAGCTGTTGTGAAAGCGTTATATAAATCAGGATGTATTGTTTTGTCTTGTAGTTTTCTAATGGAAGGTAAACACATTAGCTAATTCAAAGAAATAGTTGACTGCATGTTGTATCCCCAAATCAAGAACTATGGTAAGCGTCTTGAAGCATAGTGTGATGAAGATAATGTATACTGTACTGTTCCATGAGATATTGTGGACATGCAACAGCCTAAATCACAAATACATGGTCAAAATAGAGTCAGATACACCCTGTTGACAAAAGTCTTTAGAAACCTCATTTGACCAATTAAGGTACTTTGGCTCTGAGCCTGACTTTTTGCCATTAACCCTTTACAACCTGAGCCTTTAAAACTGAACGTGTCGGCGGCGACACTTTTCGCGGCAACATGTGCCGCCGCTATATGTGTCAGCGCCGACACGTGTCACCACGAAAAGTGTCGCCGCCGACACGTTCTGAATTAAAGGGTTAACAAAGATAATTTGGACTATTTTACACTTCCAACTTAGTGGGAACAATTTGGAAGGTCCTTTTTTAACCCGACTGTGGCCCAGCACAAAATGTAATTTCAATAAATGCATGTTCTAACGATTTTGAGGTGGAGAAAACCCGACCTGAACCCATCAAACCCTTCAGATGAACTAGAACAGTGATGCTCGGCATCACCAAATTAAATTCTCAGATGCGCTCTTGTCATCTCAAGGAGAAATACTCACCTGTGAATCTGGTCCTGTCGACTGGACCTGACCGGAGCCAAACCATCAATTTCATCAAAGAAAATGATCGATGGCCGCATTTGGTACGCCTAGATGATATAGAAAAAATGTGTCAGAATGAAAGCTTATTTAAGTGGAAAGTGGTGAATAAAAATCAATCTGAGGTGAAACAAAATAAAGCAGGAGTGAGATTTTAATTGTAATGAACAAAGCTGAAGAAAACATGAAATGTCTGAAAGAAAATGTGTTGATGCTCTTTATTCACCTGGTCAAACAGAAGGCGGAGCTGTCTCTCAGAGTCCCCAACCCACTTACTGAGGCAATCAGCACCTTTCCTCATGAAGAACGACACCTTTCTTTCTCCCATACTGCATTCGTTGGCCAATGCTCTAGCTACCAGCGTTTTCCCAGTGCCCGGGGGACCGTAAAATAGGCAACCCCTGCGGGCCAAAAAAAAAAAAAAAAACATGATGAGCAGAGGTTTATGATTGATCAAGCTCATGGTTTGAGGGCTCGCGGACTGGTCCCATCTTCGATCGTGAGGGGTGTAGAGGGAAAAAAACCCAAACTAAAACATTTGTGTGTCTGTAAATGTTATGAATATGATATATTTTTGTGTTAGTGCACATTGCCCCCTTAGCATACTTTCAGTCTCACTTTCACACAAAGTATTAAAAAAATTAAATACAATAAAAAAACACGTCCCCTTTAACCTACAGTGGTGCGTGACATGCATCAGCGGAAGTCGTTAGCAGTCAGAAGTCTGTGATCAGAGCTGTTGCACAGTATCTTTTGTTGTTGTTGTTACTCTCATTTACAGTTTGTTTCATGGCACTGGCAATGAATGGGAATCCAGAGGGCCGAGATAAGCATTTTAAAACGGTACACGTGAGCTACGATAGTTAACACGCTGCAAAAGTGTGTCCTATCCCTCCGCGTCAGGTCTCGAAGGTAGACAGTGATTTTCACAAACTCTTGCGTCGACTTTATTTTTCTGTTTCGTTCATCTTAGCAGCCTTTATAGATGTTGCTCATCATGGCATGCGTGTATAATTACATGCGTATGCACGCGCCTGCCGTTGATTGTAGCAGGTTGGTTGATCGAAAAGTACATCTTCGGTCAAAAAGGTTGGGCACTGGCGTAGTCAATACAGGGCATGTTAAAAATCTACTTCAGGGTAAAGTTATATCCTCAGTGCTCTGAGATATCAGTGTTAAGATGTGAATACTGTTTACCTGGGTGGCTGTATGTGGAACCTCTCAAAGACTTCTGGGTAAAGTAGAGGAAACACCACCATCTCCTTCAGGGATGAGATGTGTTTGCTCAGACCACCAATACTGTCAAAGCGCACCTGCGTAATATTTTTTTGTAAGTCCCAGAAAGCAGAAGGCCTGTCATGATTAGCACAATTTTCAAGACGATACACTTTCCCAGAAACTATCACAATAAACAACATTATTGTTTTGTTTTGTTTTCCGCTGATATAGTGATGATCTGAGCAAAAATTATTCAAGTGCATCCTTTTTAAGAGCAATTATCTTTCAGTTCCCAAGAACATTGAAAATTTGCATTGAAATACAGGATAAAATACCCTAAGTAAAAAAATGTCAATAAAATGAGTCAGTAGACTTTGCACTGATCTGATCACCTGGATCGGATCGGACGATATTTTGCATTGTGATCTCCTGCCATTTCATAGTTTGCTGATTGATCAATGACATCATTGATCACATCCACAAAATAACATATTACAACAAACGCTATCTTCCACTCCGGGGATGTTCCAAGCTGAAATTGTGTGAGCAAAATTTATTTTTACCCTTGCCACGTGTCGTGTGAGCAGAGAGCCTTTGCGCAGGCAGGCGGAAGTTCCACTTCTGCATCCTCAACCATTAAATCACAAAGTACGAATGGTAAGTCAAAAAATTATCCGCACTTTATGCTACAATGCGCGCTTGTGTTTAAGTTTGACGCAGTTTTAACTGCACACAGGAATTTAAGTCACGTGATCGTGATCAGTCGATGTATTTGTTTGATCGATTGTTACCCGTGTTTCAGTCGGTAAAAATGGCCGCTCCACTAGCAGAATGCATCAGTGAAGAACAGCGCAGTGATCTAATTTTTATGGTCAGAAGGTGTGTCTGAGGCTGAAATTCACCAAAGGTTCTTAACACAATATGGATACAGCGCACTCAAGAAGAAGTGTGTACAACTGGATCGAAAAGTTTAAAAGTGGCCGGACAAGCATGGACCCCACAGAAGGAGCAGGATGTCTATCAATCTCGACCATTAACGAAAACAACAAACTCAGTCCACTTTATAGTGATTTAAACATTTACATTACTGCTCTATTTGCTCACCGTTTTGTCTATGTGCATGGGGTCAACATCGGCGAGACTTGCTCCAGTTTTCATGCGATCTTTGTGAATTCCCAGCAAGTCCTCTTTCACAATGTTCAGAGGCAGACATCTGTGGAGAAAAAAAAGGCAGATTAAATTTTTTCAAACATTAACAAACATTACTCACGAAAAGGGATATTTGGCTTTCAGGTGAAATTTCAGGACGAGTCTAAAATGCATTCAAACCTTTACAAGAGAACTTAATGTGACCTTCTCTAAGCTTTTGAATGCACATGTCCAACTGTTAAATGTTTCAGTACTTTTTGCACAAGTTTCTATTCTATAAAGAGGAGCTTAACGGCAAAATTCATAATGGGAGGTTGATCCTTGAATCTACCAATTAATGTCCTGCAGGGGACTGGTGTACCTCAAATGGAATGGCCTGCACTTTCTCCAAACCTGAATCTGATTGAGAACATGGGGGTTAAACTGAGTCGCCGTGTAGAGGCTCGAAACTCTGCAACCTAGAACAGCGGAACTGGTCTGTGGGTCATTTGGTACCGGGCTGCAAGGAAAGAATAAACTTCGGTTTTATTCATTTCAGAATCTGAATTATGTTTTATTTTGAAAAATTCTGTCCATCCATCTACAGCAAGGGTGGCCATTCCATCGATCGTGATCGACCGGTAGCTCGCAGACTGGTCCCAAGTCGATCGCGATGGTTCTACAGGGATGACAATGGCAAGTGATGAAAAATGCGGAAGGGGGCGTGGCCTGTACGGGGGCGTGGTCACTTACAAAAGTGGCACTAAACATGCTGAAGATGAAGTGTATTCAATTTACACACTATTTGAAACTTTACCGAAAAAATCCCAAGATTGTTCACTATTCTTTCAAGTGAAAATGTGTGCAATTTTGCTTATGCATTCCTGGTGAGCACCAATACGTAACTTCAAATTTGCTGCTCAAAATCAAAACTAAAAAAGAAACCACATCCCCTGCCATATTTAAGATTTGTTCATTACTTGTATTCATAAAGTGTTGTGTAAATGTGATAAAAAGCTGTTGATTCTTACCTCATACAGTGATAGTGAAGTCCCACACTGTTTACTATATATGGGTTATGAATGTAATTTATTATATTAAGTGGATGTCTATTTACAGTATATACAATATAAAGTTTCATGATGTAGAATACTTTATTTTCTCTTCATTTTAAGCTTTTTAGCAAGCGCTAAAAGCTTATTGGTCCTCTCCGTCTTTTTCCACTCTTTTTAGCCAACTCCTCTTGTTCTTACACATGCTCCACTGTTGACAAGCGCTTGAGATCGAGTAGTTACTTTTCAGTAGAAATGTCTGTTTTCGGTGTTTCACCAAGGTTGCGTGACTCTGTAAAGCTTTCCATCCTCTTGATCCGTATAGTATGACATCGTCACACACTGTACACAGAGCTTCACCGGCGACATCGAGCTTTTTCACGAAATCAGACACAAGCACAATGGTTCCTCTTTACTGTTTCCTACTGGGGACACCGTCAGCTTTCTATCCAACCAGTCCCATCGAAACGTGTTTTTCAGATCCGCATCTATCTGACGCACTTTAGCTTCGTCGCGAGTCTCGATAACATTCGGCATTCGCGAGAAAGGGGGGGTTTCGGAAGGCGAACACAGATTGGTTGTGATTTGCATTTGCCGATACAGCGACCAATCACAACAAGTAAGACATCATACACGTCCAATCGCAGGGCTGTTTACAATCGGAAGCTGGAAAGACTGATCGGGAGAGCTTGTGAAAACTCGACGATAAGGTACCTGACCCCCCATAAATTTTCTCAACGGATTTAGACGATTCACAAAAATGATCAATTTAAGAAATAAAACGGCAGATTTCCGCGTATCCGCGGAAAATTGCCATCCCTGTAAGAGTAATAAAAAACAAACAAACATTTGTGTGTCTCTGTGCATGTTAGTCACACATTTTTGTGCTAAAGCACACTGCACCCTAATCATCCCATCAGACTCACTTTCACAAAAAGTTTTTAAAAAATTTAATAAAATAAAGCCCGTCACTTCTTACAGTGGCGGGTGACGTGCATCACCGGAAGTTGTTAGCGCTAAGCAGTCTCTCCAATTGCAGCTTGCGATCAGAGCTCTTGCGATGTAGCCTTGACTGTTATTATTATCAGGCAAAGTGCGTTCGTGTACAATTCACCGATGGTACTCGCAAAGAATGGCAATCTGGAGGGCCAAGAGAAGCATTTTAAAACGGTACGCGTGAACTACGATAGTTAACAGGCTGCAAAAGTGTGTCGCATGCCTACGCATCAGGTCTCCCACTAAGGTAGGCATTGATTTCCTCTTAACAAACTCATAAACTCTTGTGTCTACTTTATTTTTCTATTTCGTACAACTTAGAGGCTGTTTTGGCTGTTGCTCATCATGCATGGCATGCGTGTGTGTGTGTGTGTGTGTAAGTATGCTAACAGGTCGATCGCGGGAGTGTGGTAGATCAAAAAGTAGATCTTTGGTCCAAAACGTTTGGGCACCCCCTGGTCTACAGTATGTCACTCTTGACACAGGTCAAGGCGCGCTTCTCGGTTACGTGATAGGTTACCGCTAAAATCAAACCCAGGAGCTAGCAAAATGAGTAAAAAAAACAAATGTCTTTGTAAAGTTTTTTTGGGAAGGGGAAAAGGCCCAGCCAGGAGACAGAAGAGGAGGCTACGACTTTCAAGAAAAAGGCTACTTTTAATACAGTATCAGGAGTACGACTTAAAATACGGATTTCTCAAGGGGAGACTCCCATGCACCGAGCCCACTCTGTATAATATGCGTTGATGGTGAGTCAAATTTTTCATGCACTTTGTATTTGCGGTGTATCTTATTTTGAAGGCACATTTAAATGATACCATAGCGACCAGAGAGTGTTGCGGCCAGATAGAACGTTCCTCATGTCATGATTCGCGTTTATTATAATGTTTAGAAAATACCATAATTTTCATGCAGGTCATGTCATATTATTTTGTCGTATTTATCCGTCACACCTGAAAGGCCGGTCCCTGAAAATATTGTCTGACATTAAACCGGTCGGTGGGGCAAAAAAGGTTGTGGACCGCTGCCTTAGAACCTCAGTGACTTCAGGCCTGCCCTTCTAGAAGAGTGGGATGCCATGCCTCAGCAGATAACTCAACTTGTGAACAGCATGAGATGTCATTGTCAAGCTGTAATCGATGCTCAAGGGCACATGACACGTTATTGAGACGTTGACATTTTTTGTTGTGGTGTACCCACCATTGTTAAATTTGGTTTCAATAAATTGGTTGAGATGAGGAAATCACAAGTGCATCCTTTTATTTTCTACATCTTGTCCTACTTTGATGATATAATACAATGTAGTGTGATCTTTTTTCATTTTCAATTAATTGCACCTCAAAGCCAAATATCCCTGACTTTTTGTTCAGAGTGTAACATTCTGATTGCAATCACAATATGCTTTGTTAAATCAAAGAACAGGAAGAGCAAACACTTAAAGCTGAGTAAAACAATATTATTCTTGTGGGGGTAAAAAAAATGTCCATTAAGCATTTGCGTTTGTGCTGAGCCGCAGCTCTCACCTGGTGACCGACCTGCTCCTGCTCTTACTTTTGCTTTTACGCCTCCTCGTTTGAAAAGTCTCATCTTCCGAAGTGGATGTGGAGTCACTACTGTGGAGGGCATGTCTCCTCCTGTCAGGAGACATGAGGAAAAACAGGACGTCAAATCAAACCTACGGTGACTACCATTATGTTGAACTACTTTACAATATTTTATGCAGTATGTGGACTTTTTAAAGTCATTAAATAGCAGTCGGATTAACAAGATGCAGGTATACATCTTACGTGATTTTGAAATACAGTGAAACTCCTCTACAACGAAATGTTTGCAGCAAGAAATTTTTCACAACAGGGGGTTTTTCACTGTAGCAAATTTGATCTCAGATGTAAGCACACACACGCACGCACGCACGCACGCACACACACACACACACGTATGTGTACTCTATTTTTATTCCAATAGTGCATAAGTATGAGCACACACTTATTTGACACTTCATATTTTCAGTGTAGAAAGAAAAAAAAGGGAAATAAATTGCGAAATTTACGATCAGCATTCACTTTCATTTACATCAATTTCTTGGATAATGTCTTTTATTTTGCTTCCTCCGTCTTTCATTTTGATCACTTTTCCCCTCTCTTCCAGCATCAGAGATCTTCTTGTCTTCGCTGCTTGACATCCAAAGGTCCGTTTTGTAGCCATTTTAGCAATGCAACGCTCATGCTGCGTCTGAATCTAACAATAACAAATACTTCCTGGACCCGGTGGCTTTTCTTTCCACCATCTCACTGTCTCTAACTCAACCTCCCCTCGATCGCCACCCAAGACAGCATTGCTCAGCTGATGTCATGCAATGAACTTTTAAAGCCAGCCACGGGACGCTTCGTAGTCCTCGATGGCAATAGTTAGTGCGATGGAACTCGCCTTCTCTCTAATTAGCGCTCCAGTTAGTGTAAGGTTTTTAGCATAATAACAAGTAAAGCATTCCAGGAAACGTTTGTTTATTTGACTCTCCGTCGAGCCACAAGCAATTTACTCTGAGCAGCTAATCAGATGCTCGGTAAGCCAATGGCAGAGCAGCTATGAGTATGTTGCGTTCAGGAAACTCGCAGCTGTGACCGAAATAAACATCGTTCAGTGTGGTGGTTGCTGTTGCCATTTCCGAACGTAGCAGTAGAGGTCGCTGTTGGATTAGACTTCGTTGTAGTGAATGTCTTCGCGAGGCAGGAGCAGAGAAAATGATTTCGTATAACGCAACAGGGGGGGTTTTCGTCGTATGGGGGGCAGGAGAATGGAAATGGTGTTAATGCATTAAGATTTTTTCACATTAGGGGGTATATTCGCCCATGTAGGTTTCGTTCTAGAGGAGTTTCACTGTACAGATGATCATTAATGACGTTTTCAACAAATACTAGCATGTTTTACTGTGGCAGTGTATTGCGCTAACCAACAGACAAGCAGGAGGAATCTTACCTCTCATTGTTATTGCTGACGGTGGAAGAGAATTGGAGAAGAAAAAGAATTGTGGGAATTTAACATGCATTGCTGAGACTAGTAGAGAGAGCAGTATTAGAAATTTGGTGAAGCAAAAGATTGACATGTTGACAGGACAAGAGGACAGTAGCAGTCAACACCTAGTGTTGACACAATAGTTCTTAACAGAATTAACATTAATGAGAATTAGACCTAGTCTGGCGGCCTTATTTGTGTGAGCTCTTACACTGAGTCCTACTGACCTGCTGGTCCTCCTGTTGTAGGGATTCTGAGGGGTTGTGGAGTCAAAGGTGAATCTGCGTCTGGTGGAGGACGAATGGTCCTTAAAGTACATGCTGCGTTTCCTGGACACTCTGGTCTCTCTCGTTTCTCTGGGCTCTGGCATATTGACAAAATAAAGAACAAATTTTGAACCTTTAACATGTTGGTACAAAGCTTAATTATATGAAAAGGTCATGTGAAAAAGAAGTTACCATCTTGTGGTGCCTGGTAGAGAACTGCACTTTTTCGCTGTCTAAATTCATAACGCTTTTGGGTGTCTTCATCAACAGCATCCTCATCATCTTCAATGTCATCCTCAATGTCCTCCTCATCATCATCATCGTCATCATCCTCATCGTCATCTTCATCCTCTTCATCGTGATCATCTTCATCCCCAATGTGAAAATAACCAAACGAGGTTTAGGGATGGTTATTTCAGATGTTCTTGAACAGAAATGAATAGACTCATTCATTTAAGCCACACTGTAGTGTTTCCCAGTCATAAATTTACCAGTAGCGGGCCTTCAAAATTAATTTTAGCCACATCTAAAAGATTTTGGTGCGGCCTGTCAATAAGTTACTGTTGTATTAAGTTTGATTGCTGCACGGAAAGCCGCTGTTTCTTGTGTGGGTCTTGTGTGAATCTGCTAATGGATGCCAGTATCGAGTTCCTGAATTGGTGAAGTATCAAGTGTATCCGTGTAAAGTCTGGGAATCGCTGTTTGTATCAGCTCAAATATCATTTATTAACACTACAATTGAATAAAATAATTATTTTAAGTACGGTATGTTTTTACCATGTACCACTCAGACTTGGACACCCTATAGTATCGCTGGTGTTGGGCGGAATCCTTGTACCGCCAATATCACTTTTCAGGAGACCGCAAAACTGGCATGTTTCTTTAACCCAGGGGTGTCAAACTAATTTTTGTCGCGGGCCTGATTTTAGTTACAATTTCCATTGGAGGGCCATTACGACTGAAACCATGTACAGAAGTCAAGAATAATGGTTTATTCACTTACTGTTTAAGTTACTGTAATGAGGGGTTTGGTCACAAGAAAATGCTTTCAGTATCACTCTTATTTATTACAAATGAGAATTTGAAATTTTGGTAGAGATTCTAGCAAGCATCATGAAAGTTGACATCTTTCATTTGCTTTTGCGGGCCACATAAAATGATGTGGCGGGCCAGATCTGGCCTTGAGTTTGACACCTGTGCTTTAACCATTAACATTTAATATTCAAAGAGACCAAACCATTTTCAACACTTAAGATTATTAAATATTCATAAATAAATAAATGAATAACACCGACGCATATACCTTCACCAATAGTATAAACTTGTGAAAATACATTAAATTGACCAAACTGTGATATAGGAGGACCCCAAGTCCACCAGTACAATGTAAGACTACAATACAAGGCCAGTAACCCACTTCATTCTGCCAGGAAGGAGTTGCAACTCATAAATCCAGAATAATTGTATTTTTTTTCCATTGCATGTTTTGAAAGTAGCTGCAGTGTTCCTAAAAATCAAGGAGCCGTTCGTTTGTTGACAAATAAATGTTTTATATTCAAATTACATTCCTTGTTTTCCTTCCCTCTTCAAAAAGATACATCGCACACACAATCCTACTATCAATACTTTTCATTGGTTCTCCCATAGCCAGTCCTCTCCCTGTGACTCCCAGGTACTGTATGCTGCAGATGCGCTCACCTTGGAAAAGAAGATGGCTGCTAGTTAATGTGTTTGGCTCGCGACTTCCCAACTCCCTGCCCCTCATCCCCCTTACCTTCCTCATGTGTTTCCTTTTTGTCATCTAATAAACACAGGTACTAATTAGTGACCCGCTAGGTTTCCTGCTCTGTCTCCCCCTGTCGGTCATAGTAATTTTGCATGTTTCTTGGAAAGCTTGTTCAGGTGAAGACAAATTCCTTGTGTTTTCCCTTAATTCAGGGGTGTCAAAGTCAAATGGACGGAGGGCCAGATAAAAAATTTTGCTGCAAGCCGAGGGCTGGACTGATTGAATGTTCATTGAAAATTTTAAAAATGACCACATATAGTTTATTGAACCAAATTTAATTTGACTGAAAACCTAACAAATACATTCCAATAGGGTCAGATAAATAAAGCAACATTTTCTTATGGCTATGTCAGTAAACTTCAATTTTCAACAGGCACAAAAAAATTACCTTTGTATAAAAATACCCAGAACATGAATGAAAGAAGCCGGTATTATTCAAGGCACTATCAATAGTCCATGTTTTCTCTTTTAGCAAAAGTAGGCTAAAATTACTTAAAAGAAAAACAAATAATAGGACAGTAATTTTCGATCATTTACTCGAATACAATATTTTTAAAACATAATTGGATTGAAATACAATAAAGTGCAAAAATGTATAAACCAAAAACAACACTTTCTTCAAGGAGAAGTAACAAGCAGCGAAAGCAAATATACTTTAATTTTTAAACTTGAACTGAGTAAAAACTCTTCATATGTGATTGCACAGTATATTATAAGTAATATTCACTTCTTTGAGGCTGAGGCTGATACTCAGTGGTGTCTTATCTTTTCTACAACTTCATCAATATTTGGGGTCAGGCTCTGAGCCGCGCAAATCCTCAAAATTGAATGAGGGTGTTCAGCAGTAAATCGACTTCTGTGTGATGTTTTGTTCAGCTTCATCAAAGAAAATAGTTGTTCACACACGTATGTGCTGCCAAACTTTCGACAAC